TCCTTAGGCGCGCGCGCAGAGTTGTTCACACAACATGGACACGAGTCTCCCCATGAGAGGCAGGGTAATCCTTTCTACCTTGACAGACGATGCAGCTTGTAGCGTGCACCTGTTGGGGTTCGCTTTTCAAACTTATCACGAGCTTTGATAAGTTTGTCGTTCCAAACGTCACGACCTACATCCTCAAGGTTATGGATGTAGGCGTTCCACGCTTGAAGCAGTGAGGGACCATCACGCTTGTGATTCCCACTGTGCCATCGATGTTTAAAGAAAGCATCGATGAAGGATTCATTCTCAGCGCGATGTTTTTTTCGCGCTGGGGTCAAGGTGATGGATCCTTGACGAATCGAACAATCGTGTTCGATAACGATCACTCGTCGTCGCCGACAAGTGATCCATGACGGATTTTGGAAGCATCCATGCCTTCTTCTCGGGAGCGAGACGCAACACACCGCGGTCCCGCTCTTCTTGCGACGTGCCGACAGAAGTACTGGCACCTCGCTGCAAAGTGGTGTAAATAGGAGAACCGACACCACTGTGAGCGCCCGAATCTCGCGACCTCGAGCGCCTTCGCTTCGGCGATGGTTCATCTGATTCATCAGATGAACCAAAGATGCTGCGACGCAAAGCATCGTCCATGCCACGCTTGCCAGGCGGCTTGGATTCAATCGCCGTCGATACGGATCCGTCTTCCGTATCAGGAGAGTACGAGACACCGAGCTCGTACTCTGTGAAGACATGAGTGTTATCATGACCAGCGCCTGCATCACCAAGTGACACAGGCTGGGTCGCTTCAGCAACCGATGAGGCATCAGTTGCTGTGGTTTCTGCTTCGGCGTCCGCACAGAGACGTGCGTACGCGCTCTCGGCGGCCTTGCTCGCGCATCGCATGGGCTTGTTAACCATGCGATGAGATGTTGGAAAGTGGACGCGGACCAACAAGTGCAAACCCTGTCCCAAATGATTTGGGACGAGTTTCCATTTAGTCAATCAGTCACTAAAGTGACTGATGGTTAAGGGGGGGTGATGTAACGGGGTGAATCGTTACATAACAATCTATAAGAAATTGTTAATAGAATATAACTATAAGACTTATATTCTCAGAATATTGTCATAAGGAAAAATATTCTGTAGCACTTACGAGTAGTTCCTAATTGGTTGATATAGGCCATTATATCAACCAACGAAGACGCGCCACGACAGACGCACGCAATGAGTGGTGAGCAGATAATTGATTTACACATTTGTATTTAGACATAGTTAGATGAAGATAAATAGTGATTTATTGCAGACATTAACTATTATAAATACAGTTCTACTTTTTACTCTAACCAAGTACTCGCTTCTTCTTACCGTCTTCCTCTGCAAGTACGAGTGTACGTGAAGTTACAAGGCACCGCCTCATTCTGTCATCAGAATAAGTAGCTTGTACTGTCACCAGTACAAGCTTCAGGGTGCCCCGTTACAGATAGTTGATATGCACATTTGTATTCAGACAAAGTTAGATGAGGATAAATAGTGATTTATTAACAGACATTAACTATGATAAACACAGTTATACTTTTTACTTTAACCAAGTAATTGCTTCTTCTCACCGTCTTCCTCTGCACGTACCAGTGTACGTGAAGTTCCGAGGCACCGCCTTATTCTGTCATTAGAATAAGTAGCTTGTACTGGCATCAGTACAAGCTTGAGGGTGCCCCGTTACAAACACCACTTGTGAAGCATGGCGCAGGACATTTCGGTCTCTGGCCTCTTGAGTGGTGCCAGCATGAGCACTGACACCAGTAGCAGCTCGATCCCACGAGTTAATAATCTTGTGGTGACGATGAGATGCGTCACAACCTTCACCACGCGTCCTTCTTTCAGATTAATTTGTGTGGGAGGGGGATTTGTTATGAAACGAGAAATCCACACACTGGCTTCTTCGTCACGAATTCAGAGGCATGCGGAAAACTACGTGCAATACGTGATCTTGAAAAACAGTTGTCTGGAGGACAAAATCGCTGGCACGAAAATGACGTGCAGGTTGTGACCGAACAGCTATGATACCAATAACCTTGCACTCAGCTGTATCAGCAGTAATTGCGAGCAGGTGAACAAGCATCATTCTAAAGCCGGACGCCTCGTGAGGCGCTCATTCGTTTGGCGCATTCTTTTTGCAGCCATGCGTCTACAACACGCTTGCCTGCCAGAAAGAGTACCAAGGAGCAAATGAGCCGTTGGCCATACTTGCAAGACAATGCAGACCAGACGGAAAAATGAAGCTACAACAGATCTGGTGAGATGGTGGCTGATCCAAGTGTCAACCTGCAACTGATAGACAAGCCGCCTGGATGCTTACTTGGCTATGCTTCATCATAGGGTCTGTCCACAAGATGACTGACATCGCACACTTACAACAAGTTGTTCGATACACTTGTCATCGAGTAACGTGTCTTATCTGCTTCATGGTTCGATCGGGTACTTGCTGTTGTGGAAGTGTTTGATGGTTCTTCGACTTTTGGTACTGTATCAAGTCATGCATTCCAGAGCGGTGACACTATCTCATCATCGCCAAGGTTCTGTGGATCAGCACAACACCACGACATGAGAGCAAGATGGTTTTTGGGTGGTTTGGTTGGTACAGGAGGAGTGTTTTACACCACTTTCCTTTCTGTCGGAGGCGCTTCGAAAAACAGTCAAGCTCACAGTACATATGCTCGTCGTGAGAGGGCCAGGTATCGGAGAATACATGGAAGTCCACAGCACAATGTCGAATGGCACAAACCTACCTGTAGACACACGATGCTGGATCTGCTGGAGATGGTGTCCCAAACAAAGAACGCGCTGCCAGCCAATCAAGCAGAGCTAGTATCCACTTCGGCAGTGATTGCGGTGCATTGACGTATGCTTGCTTACAGCTTTCACACTTCGTAACTCGCAATAAGTCCTTTACGTGGTTGTTGCCTCTACATGCAGAACGTATCGGTCGAACGGATTTGTACACGTCACGGTGATAAGGATCGCAACGGTATTTATAAAAGCACCGATTCAGTGTACACCTAGGATCTCTGTGCTGCTCACGCGCCGTCCTGCATCTATTGTAACGGGGCACCCTGAAGCTTGTACTGGTGACAGTACAAGCTACTTATTCTGATGACAGAATAAGGCGGTGCCTTGTAACTTCACGTACACTCGTACTTGCAGAGGAAGACGGTAAGAAGAAGCGAGTACTTGGTTAGAGTAAAAAGTAGAACTGTATTTATAATAGTTAATGCCTGCAATAAATCACTATTTATCTTCATCTAACTATGTCTAAATACAAATGTGTAAATCAATTATCTGCTCACCACTCATTGCGTGCGTCTGTCGTGGCGCGTCTTCGTTGGTTGATATAATGGCCTATATCAACCAATTAGGAACTACTCGTAAGTGCTACAGAATATTTTTCCTTATGACAATATTCTGAGAATATAAGTCTTATAGTTATATTCTATTAACAATTTCTTATAGATTGTTATGTAACGATTCACCCCGTTACATCACCCCCCCTTAACCATCAGTCACTTTAGTGACTGATTGACTAAATGGAAACTCGTCCCAAATCATTTGGGACAGGGTTTGCACTTGTTGGTCCACGTCCACTTTCCAACATCTCATCGCATGGTTAACAAGCCCATGCGATGCGCGAGCAAGGCCGCCGAGAGCGCGTACGCACGTCTCTGTGCGGACGCCGAAGCAGAAACCACAGCAACTGATGCCTCATCGGTTGCTGAAGCGACCCAGCCTGTGTCACTTGGTGATGCAGGCGCTGGTCATGAAGACAATCATGTCTTCGCAGAGTATGAGCTCGGTGTCTCATACTCTACTGATACGGAAGACGGATCCGTATCGACGGCGATTGAATCCAAGCCGCCTGCCAAGCGTGGCATGGATGATGCTATGCGTCGTAGCATCTTTGGTTCCTCTGACGAATCAGATGAACCATCGCCGAAGCGTAGGCGCTCGAGGTCGCGAGATTCGGGCGCTCACAGTGGTGTCGGTTCTCCTATTTACACCACTACACAGCGAGGTGCCAGTACTTCTGTCGGCACATCGCAGGAAGAGCGGGACCGCAATGTGTTGCGTCTCGCTCCAGAAAAGAAGGCATGGATGCCTCCAAAATCCGTCATGGATCACTTGTCAGCGACGACGAGTGATCGTTATCGAACACGATTGTTCGATTCGTCAAGGATCCATCACCTTGACCCCAGCGCGAAAAAAACATCGCGCTGAGAATGAATCCTTCATCGATGCTTTCTTTAAACATCGATGGTACAGTGGGAATCACAAGCGTGATGGTCCCTCACTGCTTCAAGCGTGGAACGCCTACATCCATAACCTTGAGGATGTAGGTCGTGACGTTTGGAACGACAAACTTATCAAAGCTCGTGATAAGTTTGAAAAGCGAACCCCAACAGGTGCACGCTACAAGCTGCATCGTCTGTCAAGGTAGAAAGGATTACCCTGCCTCTCATGGGGAGACTCGTGTCCATGTTGTGTGAACAACTCTGCAAGAGCACCTAAGGAGGCTTACCTCCTTACCAGCCCGTGGTGGCGCGTACGTATCTCTACTGAGATGTACGAAGGGATTGACAACCTGAAATCCCTTTACGACCGTGCCGGGAAGACTTTCTCCGGCGGTCCTTCTGCGGCACAGGATGTGCCGCGTCGTACTGCTCAACCAGACCCAGTACGTCAACCATCAGTTGGGAGCGGGGCTCCCAAGTATCCCAGGACGGGGGATAGCCGCGCCACCGGACGAGGTAACTCGTCCGACGTCCGTTCACGTCGCGGTGGTTCAACAGCTGCTCAACTAGATAGCGCTGGCCACCGCGAGAGTCCTCTAATGGAGGTGGAGGAGGAGGAAAGACGCTCTCCACACGATCATGTGGATCGGTGTGTTCCCGAGAGCTTTTGATCGCGTAACGCAAGGGTTACGCGACGATCTCGAACATGAGCGGAATAGGCGTCTCCAAATGGCGGACACTGCCTTAAAGCATCGAGCTGAGTTTGCCTTTGCTCAGCTTGAGAACGAGAGATCTCTGACATCTCTTCGTGACGAGCTAAGGGTAGCTCGTGGGATTGTTGATCGGTCTCGGGATGAGATAGCTGCTCTTCAGACCCTTGTTCATGCCCACCATCGGGAGCACAAGGCTCTCTGCGAGATGCTTGAGCGCAAGGGCGTTCTTCATCGGAAGAAGCAGCGTACGGATGGTACGGCTTAAGCCGACCAACGTAAAACGTGGGATGCGTTCGCATCTTACGTGGTAAATCGATCGTGTATGCATTGCCTAGGCGGTGCAATACACGAAATGGGCCGATGTACTTGGGTAGTAGTTTATTGCTACCCAAGTTAGTCACTACATGCTTTGATAGATTAACCGTAGACAGTAGGACTAAGTCACCTTTATTAAATAAAAGAGTGCTTGCCCTTCCATTCTTGTCAGCGTTTTGCTTTTGCTTATCCACCGCTTCGGCGATGGAGTCTTGCACAAAACGGACTACCGTTTCACGAGCCAGTATGAACTCATCTCATGACTCGTTAGCTTCAGTGCGCTGTGAGTGCACTGCAGCGACATCAATCTGTTCTTCAGTGAGGGCTTCCGCACTCTCACTGGCATCATATTCTTCGATATCGATGTTATCGATATCGGCATCAAACGCAATGACTTCTTCGTCAGAGCGTGATGAGCGTGAACCAAATCGGTTTTTGCTCGCGCGAGTCCCTCCCCCCCTTAAACCAGAGTTACACTCTAGTAAGGTGGGTACACGCGGATGGCGCAAGCCATTCACGTAAAACGGTGTATGTGTCGTGGACGCATGCACCGAGTTGTTGATGGCAAACTCTACCATTGGCAAAAACTCACTCCAACTCTTAAAGGAGTGTACGTATCCTCAAAGTATCTCTTCTAGGACACGATTGGCACGTTCCGTCTGACCATCTGACTCTGGATGATCAGATGTCGACATCTTCAAGCGCGTTCCGAGTGATTTGAACACGAAGTGCCAGAAATTAGCAGTGAATCGTGGATCTCTGTCTGATACGAGTTCACGGGGCAACCCATGAAGTCGGAAGATGGTGTCAATAAAGACACAAGCATAGCCACTTGCCGTGATTGTCTCTGGTACAGCCACAAGGTGTACCATTTTGCTGAATCTGTCAACAAATACGAGAATACCCGTATTCCCGCGTGCGTCTTTGGGTAACCCGACGACGAAATCCATTGAGATGGATTCCCAGCACTCTGCCGGAACCGGTAGAGGCTGTAAAGGTGCACGCAGTGAAGGACTTGACTTCACTCGTTGACAGACTTCGCATGCGCGAACATACTTTCGCACAAACTGATACTGGCGGGGCCAGTAAAAGTCTCGACTTACCGTGAGATATGTTTTCTCCCGGCCACGATGTCCTCCTATAGGAGCATCGTGATACTCGAACATGATCCGCAAACGCAGGTCAGTATCATCTGGAATGACAACACGTGGTGTGTCACCAGTAACGGCTGTATAATACAGTAAACCGTCGCGAGTAGTGTATCGATCTGATGCAGATCGATACGCAGGCGACAATCGTTTCAACGATTCTCGAGATGGTTGGGAGAGATGTGTCAACAACTTCACTATCTCACCATCTTGGGCGTATGCCCGCCTCACATCATCGTACAACGTTGAAGATGGGACTGAGGACGTCATAACCGCAACAGTGACTGTCTCACTGTTGGGTTTCACGACTGGTTCAAAGTCGGGACGACGTGAGAGTGCATTAGCGACGACATTAAGTCGTCCTGGTTTGTTCTCGACCATAAAGTTGTATTCTGCAAAGAATGACAACCACCGCGCCATTCGTTGTGAAAGGTGCGGGCTGTTCACTGCCGTGCGTAATGACGCATGGTCAGTGTAAACAATGAAGGGTCTATCTCCTAATAGATAGACTCTGAACTTCGCGAGTGCATACTTCATGGCAAGGAATTCCTTGTCATGCACTGGATAGTTCCGCTCAGCTGGTTGCAGCTGACGCGACTGATAGCAGACGACGCGTTCAACGCCTTCAAAATCGTACTGCATTAATGCACAGCCGATTGCGAAATCGCTGGCATCACGGACAACATGAAATGGCCTGTCCTGATCGGCAATTGCTAGGACTGGGGATTGTATCAAGCTCTGTTTGATACCCTCAAAGGAGCGCTGACATTCAGCGTTCCATAACCACCTCTCGTTCTTTTTCAACAAACGAGAGAGGTGCACAGTCATCTCGGCGTAATTGCGTGAAAACTTATGCAAATACGCCGCAAGCCCAAGGAATTTTCGAAGACCTTTGACATCAACCGGCACAGGCCAGTCGGTGATCGCCTGGATCTTTTCGGGATCAGGACGTACACCGTTCTTACCAACGATGCACCCAAGAAGTGGTATTTTGCTTGCTGCAAATATACACTTCTTGAGGTTTGCATACAATTGATGCTTTCGCATGATTGTAAGAACCTGTCGAACGTGGTACCTGTGAACCTCAACGTCCGACTTTCCATCCATAGCTCGACTATGGATGAATACGTCATCGAAATAACTCGGCGCGAATTCTCGTACTGGTCTCAACAGATGTGATACACATCTGTTGAACGTGGCAGGGGCATTACTAAGCCCTTGTGGCATTACTAGCCATTCCCAGAGCATGCCGCTAGGCGTGCTAACTGCGGTATAGGGTATATCCCGTTCCCGCATAAGGATTTAATAGAAGCCATCCATCAAATCCGTGAAAAGATGGTACTCTTTGACATACCATCAATGATTACGTCCTTCCTCGGTATCGGCGTCTGAGCCGGTACCGTTGCAGCGTTCAGTTTGTTGAACGCGTGCACTATCCACCAACCTCCTGTTGCTTTTCGCACACAGAAGGTCGGAGAGCTATGTGGGGAAGTTGATTCCCTCACATGGCCCGCAGCTAAACGATCGGCAAAGAACTTGTCGATCGCAAGTACTTGTTCACGAGGCAGTGGCCACTGCTTCATGACACAGTACTTCGAGCCTGGTTTAAGCTCGACCTAGTGTCGAATACCTTTATCCTTCGGTAATTCGCACGGAACAGTTTCAGGGAATACATCCTTGAATTCAACCAAATCTTCATAGAGAGGATTTGTCTTGAGCGATTCCCACGATTGGGAGTCATATCGCTCAATTCGTGTCTTTTCATCTAGGACACTCTCGTCCATAGATAAACTACTGAGAACTCTCTCGTTCTCAGTGAACACTGTTGCTGACCTTATGTCGGTTACACACTCGTCGTCAGCGACGAGTACGCAGATCTGCTTGACTTTGCCACTACGCAGATCACGCAAGAGCCTTTTATGTTCGAGCGTTGGCAACTGAGTGATCTCCGAAGTCAACTTCGAAGGCGCAATCAGATCAAGTGTATAAGCGCCTACACTTGATCCGTCATTGACTAGGACATTCAATGTCTCTGTCATTTCATGGGGACTTATTCCCTCAGGCTTCGAAGGACTTATTCCTTCGGCTTTCCGGGGACTTATTCCCTCGGGTTTCGGGGAACTTATTTCCGCCGTATTTGTAATATCGGGACGTATTCCCTTAACTTCCTCTAGCTGTGGTTGCGCAACCACAGCGAGATCCTCTACGAAAGACTCCCCAGTCGATCTAGGATTATCGTTTCGCTTAACCTGAGAGATCGATTGTTTCTTTTCTAGATGCTCCCCGCTAGGGATACATCTTTGTCCCGGTCCACTCGACTTATTCGAATGGTGGACCTTCGGCGCAGCCCGTGTTTCCTCTCACAGCCGCCGGAACTTTGCTCCGAAGTGTAACCGTTTGGTACACTAAGGTTTTGTGCAGTCGTACTAACGACCGTACCACAAGTGAGGCCATCGCACTCACTCGTAGTACATCCACACGCTTGTGGACGCTCCAAAACGTTCATCAGATGGCCATCTGATGAACAAGCGGCAGGCATCGTTACTGTTCGATGTTGCCAGTTTACCCGTGGTTCGTACCTTCTGAGCCACGGTATTCCAAGGATGACATCAAATTTGCCACCCAAATCCAATACGACAAAGTCATCATCATATCAGGTATCTTCTAGCGTATAGCGGATCTTCACTATACGCTTCATGACGGTTACGGATGCGCCTGTCGCAAGACGTACCGTCATCCTCGTAGGAGGTGTGTCACATTCACTGAACTTAAAGTGACCATCTTCTAGCGATTGGCGTTGCACAAAATTGTTGGACGCCCCGCAATCGACTAGAGCTCGAAGGGACAACTTACTCGTCACTTCGAGTTTCAAGGTAATGAGTGAGACCTCATTACCTAGAGCAGCAACGCACAACGTTTGTGTGTTGGGAGCAACCTTCATCAAGAGGCCTACAAATTCTCTTGACGTTGATGGACCAGTAGGGTGCTCCGCACCTACTGATCCTGTCCGTTTTTTGACGGTCCATCCTGTTGTTGCGTCTTTGCACCAACAGCGGACCCTCGTCCCTGCCCCTTTCTCATGGGTGGACGGTCACTACGCCCAGTGTCGCGAGACACTGGACGAGGGGCACTACACTCGTAAGCGTAGTGTCCTGTCTTTTGACATCTGTTGCATCTCTGCAACTTCTTGTAGCCTGTAGAGCTAGCCTTCTTGCTCTCTACATAACAGAGTTCCATCGGCTCTGGACCTCCGTTGTCATATCGTCTCGTTTGACGATATGATGTCGAGCTGGCGCGAGCCTGTCTCAGACTGAAGTCTTCCTACTCCGCAATGGAAATGGCTTGTTCTAGTGAATATAGTTCAAGCCGGAACAGGTGAGTCTTGACGGGACCATCCGCAAGACCCTGCATGAACACCGAAACCAACGTGTGTTCATCCACCGGATTGGAACTTATACAACTCGCGAGATGTCGTACATGTTGCGCGTAAGCGTGCACATCACGCTTACCCTGCTTGAGCTTCAAGAGTTCGGTTCGAGCCCTGAACTCAGCTCTAGGCGGTTCAAACGTTTGTCTGAGCCGCGACTTGAAGACTTCCAACGACCCAAACGCATATGGGTCGTGCAACTTGAGCCCCAAAGCCCAAGTCTTGGCACGTCCTGCCAGATTTGACTGGGCAAATGCAACTTGCATTTCCCCGTCGTCGATGCGACGCGCCCTTATGGCGTCATCCAATTCGACGAACCATCTCAAGAGGGAGTCCTCTTCGACTCCCCTATACTTGGAGATGTCAATCTTCAAGGTCTCGGGTCGACGCGAATGCATCGACCCACCAGCAGCAGCCTGCTGCTGTCTCAACAGTTCAAACTGTTGAGCACCCTGTTCTCTCAACAACTCTGCTTGTTGAGAACCTTGTTGGTGAAGCAAGGCTACTTTCTCGCGTTCAGCGTCAAGTTCATTTTGAATGAACTTGGCTATAGTAGCTTGTTGGGCATCTCTATTGAGAGCCTCTAGCATGACGCTAACAGCATGGATGCCCATGGTCGAACCCATTCGTTCAACCGCATCTCATTCGACATCGCTCAAATGGGAGTAGCCGTCACGCGTTGCGTGAAAGCTTTGGTCATCTTCATCATCCAACATATTCATGTTGGATGTGATCGCGGTCCTTGGACGGACTACGAAGTGCTACCAGGTGTAACGGGGCACCCTGAAGCTTGTACTGGTGACAGTACAAGCTACTTATTCTGATGACAGAATAAGGCGGTGCCTCGTAACTTCACGTACACTCGTACGTGCAGAGGAAGACGGTAAGAAGAAGCGAGTACTTGGTTAGAGTAAAAAGTAGAACTGTATTTATCATAGTTAATGTCTGCAATAAAACACTATTTATCTTCATCTAACTATGTCTAAATACAAATGTGTAAATCAATTATCTGCTCACCACTCATTGCGTGCGTCTGTCGTGGCGCGTCTTCGTTGGTTGATATAATGGCCTATATCAACCAATTAGGAACTACTTGGAAGTGCTACAGAATATTGTCCTTATGACAATATTCTGAGAATATAAGTCTTATAGTTATATTCTATTTACAATTTCTTATGAATTGTTATGTAACGATTCACCCCGTTACATCTATCGTACGTGCCGATGCATACGCGCCGACTTTCCAGTGGTAGCGAGGCTTTTTTCACGTGTTATCTGCCTGCGTGTTTGTTGTGAATGGCGATCGCCTCTCCGCTGATCATACCCAGCCTTTTTACGTCTTTCTAGATGCTCCGCGCTGAGTTGACATGTCCTCCGTCTTCGAGCTGACATGGACGTATCACGCACATCTGCTGGCCTGCTTGACCCGAGCATATGTAGTGTTCATGATCACTGAGATGACTCGATATTGAAGGTACTGTTCCCTGATTTTGACCTTCACCCTCATTTCTCATCATAGCCTCTGCATGAACACACATCGTCTTCCACCATCAGCTCGCAGCAGTTTCGCTTGGAACTGGACTGTCCAGAGGCACAGATGAGAAACGAATGGAACACTTAACTAGATGTACACGATACTGTTGACAAAGACCAATCGCGATTGGTCTTTGTCAACAGTATCGTGTACATCAGCCGACCAAATCTCGGCTGAAGAGAGTTGCGAAACCGGCATCAAAACCAAGCTACACCGCATCGGAAGAAAATGAACGTCAGCCGTTTAAATGTTGTGCTGGATCTCTTCCATGGGCTGCACACTGGTTGGACGCGCTGCTACAATCCCCTTAGCTAGGTAGCTAGCTAGTTGGGAACCCCCGTAGGTGAGTCGCCTTCGCCGCGTTGGACCCATCCTCAATAGAATCGACAAACGACGCCAGACGATCTCACCGTCGCTGACGCCGGACGATATCGCCGTCACTGTTTGTCGGTTAAGAGCACGATGTTCGTACTATTCTTGATCCAACGTGATCTGCTTTCAGATGTAGATGATGTAACATCGCACCTCGCACCAAACTCTCAACCAGCAACAGTCGCACTCGCCTGTCCGGTCGTTTCGAAGGCTCATTCATTTGATGTCAACAGGCGTGCGTTTCTTTAACTACCGACACCGAGTGCGACAGAAGTTCATCTCCCGGAAAACGGTGAACCTGCTTTTGATTCGATACGATCGACTCGAGGCCCGGTCCGGCTTGCACGTCTGCTTGCTTTTTATCATTCTGCAACTTGCCAAGACTTCCCAGCATCCCTCACCACCTCACTCGAAGATGAAACTCTCCATTTGCCTCGTTCTTGCTGCGGTCACAGCTACGACGATCTGTGTACAAGCTACGGATATCCGTCGGAACGAACTCCTTGATGGACTTGACGTGCTTTCTAATATCCTCACGGATAAGGACAGTCGGGTGTATGTCGAAGATGATGGACACGACCACCACCACCACTAGGACCACTTCGACCACCACATCGACTACTAGGCCTTCAGCTACGACCTATCTGCCAAGCTTTTCATGCGATCAAGGTCTCGGCGACCGCGATCACATTGAATGGAGTTGATGACGAGAGACAAGCTTATCCTGAACCTGTCCCACAAATCGGCTGTATCTGTTCAGACAGTTCAAACCGTAGGCGTGGATTCGTAGACTAGTGAAGGGGTAACGCGACATCAATGTAGCCAACCTTCAACTCGTTCAAAATCAATTCTGACTTCTTTATCCATTGACTTCTGTACTCTCGTGTAGCAATCAGCTATCGCAAAAGACAGTACGCCCATGTGCTAGACCCGACACATGAGGCTCACCTTGAGCTTCTGTATTCTTGCCTATCTATCTACTTGGGTAGTCTTCCCTTCGTGTATTCGAGAAACGAATCAGAGTTCCGACGACAATATCGGTGAGCGAGCTGGCATCAACATGAGTCCTGTACAGAATGTGATGCGTCAAGTGTTGCGGGATATCATTCGAATGTTGGCTTGAAGACCGACGGATCAGCAGATACGGATCACTATGTTCATCCGACAAGCCTGTATGGTTGTGAGCATGGTTGTCGTCTACGGCAGCACGTTGCATGACGAGACTCTCACGCGTGTCCGAAACGCGGTTTATGTGTCGCATGCCAGAGACGAAGTACGTAGCGTGTTTCGCTTTATTTCGTTCTTGACAGGCAACGAGTGTCAGCTAATATCTCGTGTCTGCGTCATCGAAACTGGCACCGTGCTGCTCGAAGACAATACGAATGGGTCATGTTATCCCCGCAAGGTTGCTGTTCCCTCGCGCACGCTACTTCATGTGTTGACGAGCGCAGTTGCTGCTCGGCATCATTGCGCTCCCTCATACTGTCACTGACAACCTGGTCTTTGCGCCCATCTACGACAATGTCGCCGCTTTCGGTGGGATGAGAGTTCCTTTCTATTCTGCTTGCAGTGCAGTAACAAGGCATTTGTGGGAGTGCCTACTGCATGAAACGAGGAATCCACGCCTGGCTTCTTCGTCACGATTCAGAGGCATGCGGAAAACTACGTGCAATACGTGATCTTGAAAAACAGTTCTCTGGAGGACAAAATTGCTGGCACGAAAATGACGTGCAGGTTGTGACTGAACAGCTATGATACCAACAAACTTGCACTCGACTGTGCCATCGGGTATTGCAAGCAGATGAACAAGCATCATTCACAAGCCGGACGCCTCGTGAGGCGCTCATTCGTTTGGCGCATTCTTTTTGCAGCCATGCGTCTACAACACGCTTGCCTGCCAGAAAGAGTACCATGGAGCAAATGAGCCGTTGGCCTACTTGCAAGACAATGCATACCAGGCAGGCAAATAAAGCACTGAAAGATCTGGTGAGATGGTGGCTGATCCGAGTGTCAGCCTGCAACTGATAGACAAGCCGTCTGGATGCTTACTTGGCTATGCTTCATCATAGGGTATGTCCACAAGATGGCTGACATCGCACACTTACGACAAGTTGTTCGGTACACTTGCCATCGAGTAACGTGTCTCATCTGCTTCGTGGTTCGATCGGGTACTTGCTGTTGTGGAAGTGTTTTACGGTGAGTCGACTTTTGGTACTGTATCAAGTCATGCATTCCAGAGCGAAAACACTATCTAATCGTCGCCCGAGGTTCTGTGGATCAGCACAACACCACGACGTGGGAGTAAGAGGGTTTTTGGGTGGTTTGGTTGGTACAGGAGGAGTGTTGTACACCACTTTCCTCTACTGTCGGAGGCACTTTGAAGAACAGTCAAGCTCACAATACATGTGCCCGTCGTGAGAGGGCCAGGTATCGGAGGATACATGGAAGTCCACAGCACAATGTCGAATGGTACAAACCGACCTGTAAACACCCGATGCTGGATCTGCTGGAGATGGTGTCTCAAAACAAAGAACACGCTGCTGGCCAATCAAGCAGAGCTAGTATCCACTCCGGCAGTGATTGCGTTGCATTGACGTATGCTTGTTTACAGCTTTCTGCGCATACATCAATTGAAGAGAGTTGCGAAACCGGCTTCAATACCAAGCCGCACCGCATCAGAAAAAGTGAACGTCAGCCATTCACATGTTGTGCCGGATCTCTTCCATGGGCTGCACAGTGGTTGGACGCGCTACTACAATCCCCTTAGCTTGCGAGGTAGCTAGATAGCTGGATACCTCCGCGGGTGAGTCGCCTTCGCCAGGTTGGACCTATCCTCAATAGAATTGACAAACGACACCAGACGATATCGCCGTCACTGTTTGTCGGTAAAGAGCACGATGTTCGTACTATTCTTGATCCAACGTGACCTGCTTTCAGATGTAGATGATGTAACATCGCACCTCGCACCAAACTCTCAGCCAGGAACAGTCGCACTCGCCTGTCCGGTCGTTTCGAAGGCTCATTCATTTGATGTCAACAGGCGTGCGTTTCTTTAACTACCGAAACCGGGTGCAACAGAAGTTCATCTCCCGGAAAACGTGGAACCTGCTTTTGATTCGATACGATCGACTCGAGGCCCGGTCCGGCTTGCACGTCTGCTTGCTTTTTATCATTCTGCAACTTGCCAAGACTTCCCAGCATCCCTCACCACCTTCACTCGAAGATGAAACTCTCCATTTGCCTCCTTCTTGCTGCGGTCACAGCTACGACGATCTGTGTACAAGCTACGGATATCCGTCGGAACGAACTCCTTGATGGACTTGACGTGCTTTCTAATATCCTCACGGATAAGGACAGTCGGGTGTATGTCGAAGATGATGGACACGACCACCACCACCACTAGGACCACTTCGACCACCACATCGACTACTAGGCCTTCAGCTACGACCTATCTGCCAAGCTTTTCATGCGATCAAGGTCTCGGCGACCGCGATCACATTGAATGGAGTTGATGACGAGAGACAAGCTTATCCTGAACCTGTCCCACAAATCGGCTGTATCTGTTCAGACAGTTCAAACCGTAGGCGTGGATTCGTAGACTAGTGAAGGGGTAACGCGACATCAATGTAGCCAACCTTCAACTCGTTCAAAATCAATTCTGACTTCTTTATCCACTGACTTCTGTTCTCCCGTGTAGCAATCAGCTATCGCAAAAGGCAGTACGCCCATGTGCTAGACCCGACACATGAGGCTCACCTTGATCTTCTGTATTGTTGTATATCTATCTACTTGGGTAGTCCTCCCTTCGTGTATTCGAGAAATGAATCAGAGTTCCGACGACAATATCGGTGAGCGAGCTGGCATCAACATGAGTCCTGTACTGGATATGATGTGCCAAGCATTGCGGGATATCATTCGAATGTTGGCTTGAAGACCGACGGATCAGCAGATACGGATCACTATGTTCATCCGACAAGCCTGTATGGTTGTGAGCATGGTTGTCGTCTACGGCAGCACGTTGCATGACGAGGCTCTCACGCGTGTCCGAAACGCGGTTTATGTGTCGCATGCCAGAGACGAAGTACGTAGCGTGTTTCGCTTTATTTCTTTCTTTGACAGGCAACGAGTGTCAGCTAATATCTCGTGTCTGCGTCATCGAAACTGGCACCGTGCTGCTCGAAGACAATACGAATGGGTCATGCTATCCCCGCAAGGTTGCTGTTCCCTCGCGCACGCTACTTCATGCGTTGACGAGTGCAGTTACTGCTCAGCATCATTGCGCTCCCCCGTACTGTCACTGACAACCTGGTCCTTGCGTCCATTATCGACAACGTCGCCGCTTTCGGTGGGATGCGAGTTCCTTTCTATTCTTCTTGCAGTGCAGTAACAAGACATTTACGGGAGTGCCTACTGCATGAAACGAGGAGTCCACACACTGGCTTCTTCGTCACGATTCAGTGGCATGCGGAAAACTACGTGCAATACGTGATCTTGAAAAACAGTTCTCTGGAGGACAAAATTGCTGGCACGAAAATGACGTGCAGGTTGTGACTGAACAGCTATGATACCAACAAACTTGCACTCGGCTGTATCATCGGGTATTGCAAGCAGATGAACACAGATCATTCACAAGTCGGACGCCTCGTGAGGCGCTCATTCGTTTTGGCGCATTCTTTTAGCAGCTACGCGCCTGCAAACATGCTTGCGTGCCAGAAAGAGTACCATGGAGCAAATGAGCCGTTGGCCTACTTGCAAGACAATGCATACCAGGCAGGCAAATGAAGCACCGAAAGATCTGGTGAGATGGTGGCTGATCCGAGTGTCAGCCTGCAACTCACGGACAAGCCGTCTGGATGCTTACTTGGCTATGCTTCATCATAGGGTCTGTCCACAAGATGGCTGACATCGCACACTTACGACAAGTTGTTCGGAACACTTGCCATCGAGTACGTGTCTCATCTGCTTCATGGTTCGATCGGGTACTTGCTGTTGTGGAAGTGTTTTATGGTGAGTCGACTTTTGGTACTGTATCAAGTCATGCATTCCAGAGCGAAAACACTATCTAATCGTCGCCCGAGGTTCTGTGGATCAGCACAACACCACGACGTGGAAGCAAGAGGGTTTTTGGGTGGTTTGGTTGGTACAGGAGGAGTGTTGTAAACCACTTTCCTCTACGGTCGGAGGCACTTTGAAAAACAGTCAAGCTCACAATACATGTGCTCGTCGTGAGAGGGCCAGGTATCGGAGGATACATGGAAGTCCACAGCACAATGCGGAACGGTACAAACCGACCTGTAAACACACGATGCTGGATCTGCTGGAGATGGTGTCTCAAAACAAAGAACACGCTGCTGGCCAATCAAGCAGATTTAGTATCCACTCCGGCAGTGATTGCGTTGCATTGACGTATGCTTGTTTACAGCTTTCTGCGCATACATCAATTGAAGAGAGTTGCGAAACCGGCTTCAATACCAAGCTGCACCGCATCAGAAAAAAATGAACGTCAGCCATTTACATGTTGTGCCGGATCTCTTCCATGGGCTGCACACTGGTTGGAAGCGCTGCTACAACCCCCTTAGCTTGCGAGGTAGCTAG